ACAGCTAGGTATGGCGGCTATGGCCGCATGAGCATGAGTGCGAGAGGCGCCGAATCAGCGCCGGGCCTGGCCGCGCCAAGTCGTGACGTCTACCGGCTGTTACCGTTCGCGCCTTTTAAACCGACATGTGGGAGAGTGATTGACATGGCTTTCACGCAGAGATTCGGTCAAAGAACGTTGTATAAGTAGGCTACAATCCGTAAACCAGTACGCGATGACGGGGCACGAAGACTAGTAATGCTACACATGATTGAGTCAAAGCAAGCAGAGCGGGAGATGCCAAAATGGCCATGTACGTCGTGAATGGTATGGAGTGCAGACAGTCCAGTAAAACCAATTAGCGTATGATGATCGTAATATACAGTACCGATGAAACCAAGCTCAAAAGGTCATATCCAAGTTCGTGAAGGTCAGAATGCGCGCGGCGCATAGTCAGAGAAGGGGTTGCGTTCCTGTCCAGGCCGAGCCTGCACAGGACGGCCCATGACGGGGTAGCGTCCTCCAGGCGAGTTGGGTACGTGATCGTCGTCAAAGGGCGTAGCGAAAGGGTCAGGGCCCGTACGCTGAGGGGGAGGAAGCCCAGGAGGGTTCTGGAGCCTACGAGGAGGGGGTTGGAACGAGCGAGCGGCCTGAGGAAGCGGCGGTGGCGCGGGGAACTGGTACGCGCTGACGCTGGTATTGTGCAGCGCGACGGGTACCTCGAGCATCGTCTGAGGCTGAGAGGGAGCCTGGATCGGGCTCACATCCTCGGAGGAGCCGTTCGGTCCAACGTCATCGGGCACGCTCGCTTTGCGGCGTGGTCCACCACCTTTGGTAGGAGAAACGACCGGACGCAGCCACGGCTTGACAATAGGCGCGGGTGAGGTGCTCCAGCGGCTGTTCTCGCGAATGCGCTCATGGGGCGCAGGCTCGGAGGGAGATGTCGTCTCGATCACCGGGAGCACCGCACTGTTGCGGGCGCTCTCGGCGAGCTCGGGCGAGATCGTCAACGACGGCTTCTTGCGTTTCCCAGGCGTAAAGTCCGGGGCGCTCGACCCGCCGCGGGCGTTCATGAAGCTGAAGCGCAAGCGCTGCCACCAGCCCTGGCTCGCCGCATCGCTCGCGCGGCCCTTCTCGTGGTCAGAGGGCGAGCGCGTCAGGTGGCGGGAGAGGTTGCCGAGGCGTGAGGGACCTCGCGACTCGGCTGGGCGTGGTGCAGAAGGTGCGGCGTCACGGTCAAAGAAGCTGTCAAAGCTTTTGCCGAAGGCACCAGCGAGTCGAGCACCAAGACCCGGCTCGGGAGGAATGGGAGTGAAGCTTCGAAGGTCGACTTGAGGCGGGGCGTCGCTGACCTGGACGGTTTGCGGCTTCTCCTTCCACTCGCGGAAGGGGGTGACAACGCCATCGACACCCTGGCGTTGGCCAGACCGCTCGAACTTTCGGCGCTTACGACGCTCGATAATGGCGCGTCCGTACGAGTGGTAGAAGATGACGCCAAAGCCGGCCAACACAACAAGGAACCAGAGTCCGAGGAAGATCGCGAACATCAGGCGCTCCTTGCGGAGGCTGGCGGCGTAGGTATCGAGGAGGCGGCCTACAAGACCGCCATCATCTGAACCGTTGCCGCCACCGACAGCCGCGCGGGCAATCGGTTGTGAAGCCTCGTCGATCCTATCCGGAGACAGGACAAGCGCATCAGGGGCGACGCGGGTAACGTTCACTTGGAGATTCTCGTTGAGGAACGTGAGAACATTCTCGACGGCGTCGACCTTGGAACCGATGAAGCACGCGATGAACTCCTGGGCGGGCTGTGCGAGCGGCGTATTGCCGAAGACGTCGTTCACCAGCGTCTGTACTTCCGAATAGAAGGAAGCGATGGTGTTATTGAGCGTCGTAGTCGTGCCGTTGACCCATCCGAAGAGTCCGTTGTTGATTGTCGTCTGGATCTCGTCGAGCTGAGAGTTCACGCCGGCCGCGTACAGTGAGGACTGGTTGTACATGCTAGCGTTCATCGAGTTGCTGATCGTCCTGGAGAAGTCTGCAGCGGAGGCCTGAGCCTGGTCCCGGAAGTGCGCCTCGAGCGGCTTCAGCGCAATAAGTTGGATCTCAACGGACAGTAGGCCGAAGAAGCCGATGAGGAAGCATGCGAGTGCAGGCGGATGAAAGATGTAGTGGAGCAACCAGCGCAGGTTGATGTTCTTGCTGGGCGACAAGCGGAGGAAGGTCGAAACCTGGTTGGCCATGCGTGTAATGACAGGGTGCTCCGCGCTCGCGGCGAGCATCATGAGGTTGTGGTCTGACAGGCTGACGGTTGGCTGCGCCTCGGGTCCGACGTGTACAACAGCAGGGTCCGTGGACCACGCCTCGCGCGTGTACTGCAAGTGCTTCTGGAGCGTGCGCCACTGTCACCACTCCCAGAAACAGGAGGCGGCAAGAAGCAAGAGAGCGAGCACAGCAAGAATGATGATTCCAATCTTCGTCATCTTCACAAGAGCATTGCCAAGGTCGTCGATCGTGGAGGTGTCCATATCGTCGCAGAAGCTGAGCGTGGCGCGGTCGGGAACGGGCAAGACGGACGAGTTGAAGGAGAACGCGAGGAAGGTGTCGTTGATCTCCTTCTTCACAAGCTCGAAGGGAGTGTCGACGCTGTTATTTCATCAGTCAAGCCATTCAAGGGAGAGCAACAGGCGTGCGTACAGATCATCGACCTCGCTCTTGAGCTGACTGACGCTCGGCAGAGACGAGTTTAACGACGTCAGTGCATCGGTCAGGTCGCTGGGAAGCGTAAGGTTGGCGAGGGAGCTCAGATCGGGAACCTGCAGCCAAAGTAAGTTTTGACAGCAGAAGGTTCAATAAAGGACACTCACGTCAAACTGAGGGGCAGTGATATCCCCAAACGGGTTGACATCGTTGACTTTGTCGACAATGGACTTGATTGCAGAGTTGATGCTGGTGACATCGTTCTGGATAGAGGTGCGCAAGCCACTCGCAGTGGACTGAATCAAGTCGCTGGCCTGTATTGCGAGTCAGCATGGGAAAGTGCACGGCGGGAGGAAGTTGACTTACCTCCTTCAGACCGCTAATAATGATGGACAAGGCGCCGCGAACAATAAGCTCAAGGAAGCACAAGAGCGTCGACCGGTAGGTGTCGATGATGAAATTGATGATGGCTTCCATGACGGTCAGCGCAAGCACAAGTGCTTGGCGCGTTGCAGACAACGCCGCGTTCGTCGAAGCGACGACGAGCTCGTTGCTAGCCAGAGCCATGTAACGTGGCATGCTGGCCGTACTAGCTGCGGCCTCCTGCGCCGCCAAGCATGCCGACAACAGGTCATCTTTGGCACCGTCTACTGCGTTCTGTGCCGAGTCGCCCGAAAGAATGAGCCGGAAGATGATGAATACGATGGAGAGGATTGGGTACGCGAGCCATGCAAGCGAGAGGCGATGCGAGAGCTGGAGATATGGGGTCAAGGTCGTGCCCACGCTGGGGTGCGAGTCATATGCAGGCGGGAATGCAGACATTGAAAAGGTCAGATTATTCGTGAACAGAGAGAGGTCGTCCGGCGACGGATAGCAAGCAGAGAGCGGAGGAGGGCCCGATGGGCAGGAGTCCCGGGGAGAGAACAGAGCTTGCTCGGATTCACGCTCATCGCTTTTGTATATCCACAACAAATGCCAAAGCGGACCTCACACGCCGTACAGGTGGTACTGGCAAGACAAAGAGACGGAAACGCATTGACGCTTGTTCCCCGGGGAAAGCCGCGTGTTGATGGATTCCCATGCTTTCAATTATTCTCCTGCTATTGTTCTTCAACTTTGTCGTTCGCTCCGCCGGCCATGTCATAGGTGTGGAATGTAGACGCCTGGTGATCGTCGCGATCCTTACGTCTACCAGTGTGCTCAAGACAACGCCGTATAATGCTCAGCCGTGCCAAGAGATACCTCAGTCGCCCGAGACGCGCCCTTGTTCTTTCCCGCCAGCCTGATCCTGCCCGCTTGTCCCCAATTCGGAAGCCCACAACGGCACTGGAAACACTCCATGCGTGAGCAGAAGACTCCGACATGACCTGCATGGTCCAAGCGCCATGCGTCTACCGCCCGACCTCCATTCTTGGTTCACTCATCCGGGCCATCTCCATCGATTTATCGGTACACAACTCGTTGATCCGATATGACGTGGACAATACTCTATTGTGTACTACTGGGGGCTGTGCACTGTAACCACAGCGGTTCTGGTTATGCTTCCACATTATCTGTTCACCGTGGATCAGTTGCTCGTCGGCGTACTCGGCGCGGAATGGCCGCCTTGCAGCATAGTGAGTCCAATGATGTTACATAAATTAGACCAGTTTCTGAACTGATGGTATGTGTACAGGTATGTCAACGAGATTATACTCTTACAGATATACTCTACAGTGTCTTTGTGCATGTCGTCCGACTATGTTCCCGCATAGCTCCCAGTCCACCCAACGCGATGAACACCCACTCTAGAGCTCCACATCTCCAGACTCATCATCCCTAGACCACCTCGCCTCTCGCCTCCTCAACTCCCTGTGCCACCTGTTAGGAACCCTCTTCTTCAACGCCCCCGCGGCGTCAAGCACCGCCTTGAGAACGTCCTTCCCCTCCTCTCGCACGTCGAAGCGCAGGTGCTGTCCGTTGAGGAGCAGGACGGGAAGCTGCGCGGACGAGTCCGGAAGCAGACGGCGAAGCGTGCTCTCGATGATGCCTCCGTCGTTGCGCGTGTCCAGCTCCACCACCGTCTCGTCCACGCGCAAGTCCATCTCGGCCAGCGCCTCGCGCAACCGACGCGTCGCAGGCTGTAACGACTGCAAAGCACCTGTCAGCGCCCTATCCAACAAGACATCGAAACGAAACCACACACCTTGCCAAAGACGACGACCGGGTTATGGTACCATACATCGAGCTGCAGCTGCGCCAGCTCCTCGCTCGCAAGTGGCGTACTCGGGTCGAAGTCGAGGATGAGCTCCGGGTTCAAAGGCGCGCCCAACTCCGTCTCCGTCGGAAGAGCGTGCTGCTCGTGGGCGGCGAGGAAGGAGGTCAAAGCGGCGAGCTCTTGTCTCGGAGTGAGCTGGAGCTGGAGACGAGGTGCTGTCTCGGCGCTCGGAGTCGGAGCGGAAGGTCGTGGTGCGGAGGCTGAGACGGAGGCATTCGGAGAGGATGGGCGTTGGTTGAGTTGCTGGTGACGAACGACGCGCCCAAGGCGCTCAAGCCTTCGGCGGGCGGTGTGCGTGTTGGTGGCGACGGTGATGTCCGAGTGATAGTGAGATGCGATGGGGAAGTCCGCGAGGAAGACGATGTAGATCGACAAGAGGCAGAGTGCCGTGAGGCCGACCACGGTGAGATGGATGCAGCGATAGTGCGTAGTTGATGCTGACGACATTGTAGATGAAGATGTTGGGTAGTTGAAGGACGGTTGGAGCCAAGGAAGGCTCGGTGTGCGGCGAAGAGAACGAACGAAGGGACGGTCGCAGACAAGGATCCCTTCGAGAGGGCCGTGCGCGGATTTATACGACTGGCCCTCGTACCTCTGGAAGCGGAATGTGTGCGCCATTTGACCTTGGTGTCGGCAGTTGGCCCATGCACAAAGCGTACACAGAGCTCGAGACCGGGCTTCAATATCGCGGTCGCGCTAGCGCGTATTGTTGCGCTGGTCTCACTTAGGTCGCCGACAATAGCCCCGGTGGATGGAAGCTGCGTGGGAGCTTCCGAGCTTTGGAGCAATACACGAGATATAGTTAACTATATCCTTATGTGGAATTGGCTGAGTTTGTAGGATACCTCCGTCTGGTCGCTGCTAGGTCTCGATGGCGAGCTGAAGCGACTTGGTGCACTGACTTCGATCCCTCTGATTACTTTTGTATGCAGTCGAAAAGCACAATCAATCAGGTTACGTCGCTCGCTGCAAGTAGTCTACCGTTAGCTGTACCACCTAGCGTGTACATGCACTTAAAATACGCTACAGTGTAAAGTTCCATCCTCGCACGGGATCTCAGGACGGCCGCCGGCGTACGATGCCCTGAATCTCTCCATCACCGTCACTGCAGTTGCGCTTTCAACGCAACTCCCAGCTGCTCAGGCTGGTTTACGCCGGCTGCATCCGCTGATATCGTTAGCGCTAGTTGCCAGTAGCCTCCGGGTTAATGAGGACCTTTCAACTTCATTAATCCATCGACTAGTCGCCGGATGCAAGTCAGTCTACGGGAGGACATACGGAGCAAGCGCACACTGGGTCCGTACTTCGACTCCAGTACTTGAACTCCATGAGCAGAGCAGAGTGATCGAGATCGGGTCGGGCACTGGGAGGCAGTGCTTTGGGCCCAAAGCGGAATGGTCAAGAAGACCCGACGGAAGGAAACGCGTGTCTGAGTTATTCCCATGACGACGCCTGTTGATCCATATTGTTAGAGATGGATTCGTCCGATGAGCACGGATGTCCACCAAAATGCGTGCAAAACCCGCGCAGATTTTCAAGCTGCAAACGTATAACCCTATGAGAAACTCATAACCCATCTTACCACGCTCGGCATTTTCCAGTATTTAAACCCGGTTTTCCTTGCGTTCCCACGAAACGCACCTTGCTTCTTCCGTTGATCAGCCACGTAAGCATTTCCAACTCCGCTCCCCTCGTGCCTTGTCTCATCATACACAGGCGCCTACCCGTCCACTCAACCTTCATCTTCGATCAATAATATACATATCCTGTAACCCCATGAATACTGTAGACCAGTACGAGTCTGGCATGGATACCTCTACCATAGTACCGCATGAGCCCTCCTCATCTGTTGCGAACGAGTCGATGCCTGAACATCATGAATCTGAGAGCCTCGTGGCCCGTTCGCCACAGCTGACGGCGGCTCATGCTAATCTTGGTGCCGGTGCCGCGATCGTGACCGAACACGTTGTGTTCCCCACGAATGCTTCTCCCGCTACACAACCGTCACCAGTTGTTGTCAACTACCACGACCAACCTGGCGTTGCCGTTCCCCTTTCGTCTGCTGAAAGGTACAACATCGACGTCGCCCCAGAAAGGCAGGCGAGGTGGAATACACACTGCAGACAGCACAAATGGAAGGTCGGAAGAAAGGCGGGTGACCCCGCTCAACATCACTTCTCTCGCGGGACCGAGGTGCGTCTTCCCTCGTTGGAATTGTGCGTTTTCTGACCAGCCTCTGATAATAGGTTCTCCCCGAAGAGGCGGTCAAGAAGTGGGTGAAGCCCATGTTGACAGCGCTGGAACTAGCCACGCTCCCTTGCAAGCTTGAGAATGATAGCTGCGGGGAGCAGTCAAGGAACTACGCGATCAAGAGGCTCCTCGCCTTCATCCGCGAGCGGTCCGACGCGCTCGGTATCGACGTCGTCGGATCTGCGAGACTCCAGCGTCAGCCTTTGCAGGGGCCACTCAGACTCCGCCACTACAGTCCGCCGTTGAGGACCTTTCGCACTTCTAAAGACCCTACGAGCGGCATCATATTGAACAACGAAGTGCTGCCGGCCACGATTACCACGGTTTCGCTAGATGAAGCGACGTGGATGTACTCGGTATGTAGCGAAGCATTCTTCTCTATGCAGTGTCGCTGAACGCGCCTCCACTCCCAGATGCCGCGAACCCAACTGCAGGCCTTGCACGCCTGGTACCCAGACTTGGATCTCATAACCGTCGCTATTCTCGCACTCGAGTACCATGGCGGTTTCCATAATCATAACAACAAGTACGTCGCTTCATGAAACCGTTCAACGTACCGTACTAACATGTGTCCCGTATCAGGATTGTACAACGTCGTCTCCGAACGATAGAGAAGATCCTACATTCCGGCATTGACGAGGAGGGTGTTCATTACCTCGGAATAGCGTCCAGGCAGTTCTGCGAACGTGTCTTTGGTGCCTTCCTTGATGGGCGGGTACAGCCGGACAAAAACTGGGTCAATAACAGCCACCGCCACCTGTACGTGAAGCAGTATCTGCCCGTCGGTTGTGTGGTTGTGCGGGACAATGCGAACAATCTGGTCATCGAGCGCTGGTTCCATGGCTCACCTCGTTACCCACTCGATGCAGTGCGAGATCTCAGCCCATTTACTCTGTGATGTGTTCTGTATCTATTGCCCACGTTTATGTAGTTGTTGGACCATTGATCATATCACACTCGTACACAATATACACCGGATTTCCCTGAACTATCTAACGGTAATTATCCACGTCTTTGGCACGGTCAGTCAAGCGAACGTCGGTCCAGGATCTTCTTGATCTCGCGATGCTCCGCAAGCCAGGACGGGAACGAACTCTCGTTGCCGTCCTCGCGGCGTTCAATGAGATAGTTAGCGAATACGATGAGCATAGCGTAGCGATATCTACATCGTATTCTCATGAGCAGAAAGCACAAGAGTGAAATGATATCGAGACGTACAGGTAGTTGATGGCGAGGTTGAATAGCTTGCGGTACTTGTTCGTACCCTTCTCACACGCCTCGACCTTGAGCTTGTTACTGTACTCTACGTCACCCTCACGTAGTTGTAAGCGTGCAGAGGTACTTACTCGTAAATTGCCTTGCGTAAGTTCTGCACATCTTGCATAAGGTCGATAGAGCGATCGGTCAACTTCTTAGCGACCTTCCCGTGCGAGAGAATGCCGACTAGTTGCAGTATACTTTTATACTCCCCTGCGCGTACTTAGTCCGGATCCCGTGCACAAAGAGAAATGATTCGTACCCTGCAGGTACGCCTCTTCCTCGGAGGCTCCCTCGACGTAGTCATATTCATCCGCGGGGCTGCCTGGAGGCGCGTTCTGAACATCGGAAGACTCCTTCCAGTGCATCGTTGTGGCGATGAGAGAAGCCGAGACCATTCCCGTAGTCGTACGTCCACGGCCCATCTGACAGTTGAAGATGAAGTCCCCGGCGCTGTCATAACGAGACGCCACACGATCGAACAGTTGAGCTAGCGCAGCGGGAAGCGGCGCTTGCTCATCGGTCTGAGAGAAGTTAGCACAAGCTCGGAATGAGGCACGATAGCTACGCACGATGGCCACACGACCGTAGTCTATCTTATATCCATCCCGCTCCATGAGTTCGAAGACGTCGCGGGGGGTCATGATATCGTCCTCGGCGACCGTTTCCCATATGGGTACGATCGCGAAGTGGCCAGGACGCTCTTCGACCTCATCGTGCAGGAGGACACGGCCGTTTCCGGCGCGTACTTCTTCGATGACATCACGCTTCAAGTTGGCTTCCATTCGCTCTACCATATCAGTAGTCACACCTGTCGCCCTAGCACGGCGTCAGACCATGTCGCCATCGAAGATCATAGTACGTACTCAACGTTCTCAAGCGGACGATCGACCAGGCGAAGAACGTGCGGTCGGCCGGCGACGTAGAGAACAGGCTCCTCCCGAAGCGATGTCCATACTGCGGTGTTGCTGCCCTCGGGGCCCGCATCAATCCTCGCGAGCGCCCGGCGGAGACCTTGAACCGTTGGCATACCGCTGACACCATCATCAGCTCCCATACAGTTTCCACAGTATATACACATACCTCCCGCACACCCATCTACTATCTTGTGCGCCAGGGACGAAATCAACATCAGCGTCGGCATCCTCACCTCGCTGGGCGAGATGCAGTACAAGTGGCACGCGTCGGAAGTTCGGTGCACCGTCGATCCGCTCAGGAAGGCTCATCTTCTGCAGATTAGAGAAGAAGTCGCTCTTGAGGATCGTGCTCTGACTGAGTATACTGCCCGCGCGGTTGGAGACTACGGCGGATACTTCGTCGGGCAACGCGAGGCCGTCGCCTATATCGACGCGCACTAGTGGACGGAGTGCGGCCATTCCGTCCGCGGTGAGCTCTTTCTCGAACGTCTTCAGCACGGGAAGCGACTTGACGAACGTCTCGAAGGATGGCGACGTCGATATGGTGTCCGGTTCCGTCGATTGGAGATACGCGGCGAAGACGATGAGCTCGAAGTACCTGCGCAGGTTCTGTATACCCCGTTGAGCGTACATCTTCTGCATGCCGGAGTCGGTTGCTTGTTCACACTTGATGCGGGCCTCCTCAATCGAGTCGCGTATGTTGAACACTTCACCGCACTGGTCGATGGCCTCGTCGACAGCGTTCTTGATGGCAGGCCCTTTTCGGACCACACGCAAGACATCTATGAACGCTCAATGGGGATCCTTTCTGGAGCCGCAGTGAGTACGTACTATTGATGACCTGATAAGATTGCCTGCGGATGGGAGTTTCGTTCATACCCGCATCGCCAACGCCGCTGATCCTGCTCATGCTCTGGCTTCGCTGAAGCATAGGCGCCGTCGTCTCACGGTCTCGGTGAAGCCAGTTCTGCACCAACACCAAGATAACAGCGGCGAGCGATGCTCTTCCTCGTCCCAGTTGATCGTTGAGCACAACGGGTGTGTTCGCCATGTCGGTACTAAGCGCGAGAGCGATGAGTGCTCCAAAGTCGCTGAAGTCCGGTGGGTGCTCAGCCGTGATGGGTATCCGTACGTATGAAACCTCGAGCGGAGGAAGGCCATCAGACGAAGGGTGTGTGCGCCGCGAGTTCATGACTTCCTTCAGCACCGCAACATCTCCGGGACGGGCATCTTCCCAAACGGGAATGACGGCGCCGTCGTTGACCTCAGTGTGAAGTAGGAGTCTGCACTCGGTTCAGCAAGATCCGCAGGGGATGATGGAAGGTCACCTACTTGCCGCCAAATGAGTGTACCTCCGATACAACGTCGTCACGAAGGCGTTCCTCCAATGTCTCCAATCGGGAAGCAGAGATGCCGCCGTAGTCTAAGCGTCATCAGCATCACATATAATAGGCTGAACTTCATCTGCCGCACCTTTCATGTTGCGCAGGGAGAACCGTTCTCTCCTGAGACAGTAAGGCGCACCGTTGACATAGACAAGCGGCTCCTCCCGCAGAGCAACCCAGACAATCTTCTCTGCACCGGGGCTATTCTGGCGTATGCGCCGTACAACTTCGTCAATTGCCTCCACAGCAGGTTGTCCGAGAGCATAGATGCTTGTGCCTGGAACCCGGCGGAAGTTGATTGCGCCTCGCACGCCGGCTTCGACGTGAGCAGACTCGCCGAGCCACTGATCGCTCTTGAGAAGCATGCCCTCACGCAGGATCACGCCTGCGCGGGTCTTCACAACATACTCAGAGTACTCGTCACCAAGCATCTCGCCACCAGCGATCTGCACGTCATTTCTGTGACCGCGAGTGGTCGCGCGTTCCATAGACCCAGAGCGTGATAGCGCGGTCAAGTCGTGGACAGGAGCGAACACATTCAGGCGCGAGCCATGAGATTTACGCAAGAAGAGGATCTGGCTAGGAGTAAACATAAGTACCAAGGCACTATCAGGGAGCAAAGGAAAGCATAAGAACTTACTTCCATATTTCGGTACGAGGCTGTGCGTTAAAAGTTAGCAGCAGCCACATGACTGAAAGCGCAGTGCGTACTTTCAACCAGTCGACAAAAGACGTCTTGAAGTCCGTCTGCGCGTCGACATAGCTCGCAAAGGAGATCAGGAAGAAGCTACCATCGTCGTCAATCGGATGCATATCTGAGAGGAGGTGAGGTACTGACTACTTCTCAAGAGCCCTGGCTGCCTTGGCAAGATATTCGCCGCTATCCCCTTCTTCGAGCGTGCTGAGACTGTAACGTACACGATGCACAAGGATATCTTCACGCAGATTGACGACGTGATCGACATTGTCTATGACCTTGTCAACTAGCTTCTTGGCCCGTTGTCCGTCATCTAGGAGGCCTAGGAGAGACAGGACAATCCCATACGAGCCCATGTGGGCGCGTCTCAAGCTGTCAAGCAAAGACGGATGGGAGAGGAGAATCTCGATGACGTGATGAGGCGCTGAGGCGGGTAAGCCTGTAGAAGCCGGGATGAGTCAGAGCACAGAGTGTATGGGATGGGACTGTGTTCACACTGTTGCAGAACATAGGTGAGTCGCAGAAGCGATCGGTTCATATCTTGTTGCAAGCTTGCTTGCTCGAGCGTCGCGACAACCTTGGATTCTGCAGGTAACCTGCGCAATTCCTGAGTGGGCTATATGCGGCTGGTCAGATATCTGCAAGATCGGATGGCTCCGAGAGGCAGGCAAATACCGTATTAGCGCCACCGCTGATAGGTGTTCCAGCTCTGGAAGGGGTATGAGGGAGGCGAGAACCGTATGGATCGGGCAATCCTCGGAGCATGAGTTGCCGTCGTCGGAAGATGCACGCTGTAGTCATCGCAAATGTTGTTCGGACAGCGCCCATACCACAAGAGAATACCAACGAGGTACGCAGAGGATCCAGATTCTTGATGACACGTAGGTATGCGTCGATATAGTTGTCCTAATGTTCGGTAGTCAGCGGGTGAGGTAAGGCACAAGCAAGTGGGTACTGACTTCGATGGGTCGATCCGGCGAAATGGGTACACTGCAGCACGTTAGTATTATGGTACGCAAGTGATTCTCAGTCCATACCGATGATACTATCGCGAACGCTTTGATCAGAAACTTGCTTTCTAGACGGGCATTGACAAACTGACCTCTACGTGCCATCCTTCAGTAGCGAGGTGTTCCCACAATTCGCGAGACGTTCTGACATTGTTTCCATCAACTGCGGTCCAAGTTGGCAGGATAGCACCATCTCCGTCCTCCACGGCTGTCGCATTTATCAGAGTCGCCCGTTGCCCAACAAGTCGTAAGAGCCTCACCGACCTCGTTATGCGTCAGGAGTAGACCACCATATCTGAAGTTGATTAGCACGGATACTATACCGAAGTGTTCATGACCCACTTCGCAGACTCCGCGAGTATATCGGCCTTCAGGCGGTGTTCGATGGCCTCGAGGTTCTCTGCCCTATCGGACATCCGCAGGGTCTTCCGAGGCTCCGACGAGTCTCGTAGGACAAAGGGTCGCCCGGAGATGTACACTAGCATGTTGTCAGCATGATTCTGGTAGTGTTAGGCGATGGGAGGTAAGAGGATCAAAGAGGCTCAATGGACGGTGTGAGCTCCGAAACGAAACAATTCAAGGCATACACAATACATCATCGGGCAATGGAGCGTAGTACTCGGATTCTCACCTATAGGCTCTTCACGCGTAGAGAACCACACGACATGTGAGGGATTCTGTACACCCGGTCTCGCACGCAGGACAGACAAGATGGCTCGCAGACCCTGTGAGCGCGGTTGTGCAGCCCCAAACACGTTCAGATCTCCTTGACGAGGTGCGCGGAAGTTGGGAGCGCCATGCACGTTCAGATCAAGTTCCAGAGCGCGACCTGATTCGGACAGTCTTCAGCTCACCGTCCGAATGAAGAATAGATAGCTCCTTTCGTACCAGAAGGATAGAAATCAGTCTTGAGAATAAAGCCACGCGAAAGCACGCTTCCATTGCGCGACTTCACGATCGACGGACCGGAGCGTTGTAAGAGCGGTACCAAATCGAGCGAACCGTCATCCCTGTCTGTGGACAAACGCGCTTGACTGCTGCTGGTTCGATGCTGGCCAAGTAGAGATGGAACAGGTGAAGGATTGGGCGGCGAGATTGGGCTCATTGCGGGAAGTGGCCCCTGCGACGAATCTCTGCCTTGCATCTTATGCCTGAGTCCCCCTTCAGAGATAAGGCGAGATGGTGGTTTAGGGTGAAGACGCGGGATGCCCTAACGCGCGGCAATCGCGCCCGCCGCGTTCGGTCCACGCCGCAAGCCATGTGCCCGCATCTTAAGCTCGGATTTTGCCGGACTACTCCGCGCTTTATACACGCTATACTGCACAGTGACCGATCTACCGGATGACCGCGACTTGAGTGTCAAAGACCCCTCAGGTGTGTATGGGGATGTGTCGCGGCGCGACTAGGAGTCTTCGATATATTGTCTGCGAACGCATACTAGCCAGAATGTTACTCTTTACTACATCATAGTTCGGACAGATAGAAGTCTCGCAGCGCAGATGACCACGTTAACATCCCTTCAGGATCGGGTTTCCTTCCCATATCATCCAAGGTCATCATCTCCACATGCGCTTGCAACTCAAGTACGCGCGCGCGAGGGATGTTGCAAGCACGAAGGCACAGTTTGTGTACCTTTCTCTGAGCACGTTCCATTCGCCTCAATGCACGCGCGGCTTGAGTGCAGCGCGGCGGGTACGCGAAGTCAACTCCGTTGATTGACACGTTGCGCACGTTTTGGACCAAAGGCGGAGCTTCTGGATCCTGCCCGGTCACGCCGATGGGTGCTAGCGAAAAGGCTAGGACATCGAAGAACGAGTCGCTCGCGTTGTGCCCGTGTAGAACGACTGTGTCGAGCAATGGCATGACTTTTGCAATGGTCCTCCACCATGCTGGCGTAACGCTGTGGACGCCGTAGTCGAGCACGAGCTCGCGCACGTTGCTGATCGGCAACGACTGTAGGAGAAGTGTTGACGCAGAAAGCACTAGCTCTGTGCCGTGAAGACGCGCAATGACGATGTCGACGCTCATGTCTGCGACGAACAGATCGCCTGCTTCATAGGTGCTGTTATGGGATAGCAGATCGGGCTGTCGATCCCAGCCAGTAGAGATGCGGAGGTTGTCCCAATGGCCGGTTGTATAGGCCTGAACTCGCACCGCGAGTAGCTGCGCAGACGACGAAGCGGGATGTTGGTGCTCGTACCATCTGTTCAAGCCCTGAGCTACAGGCACCACGAGTGTAAGATCCTCCATATCATCTGGCACTCCGCATATCATCCGCATCTTCGCATCCTGGGGCACCACGATCGTGCCAAGAAGTGCGGGAGCATCCTCGATGTCCGCGACGAACAGACACTGGCGCAGTTGGGAAAGAGTCACTACATCGGGTGCACGCGGCGGTCGCGGTACTTGAACATCGCTTGTCGGTGAGGGGTTCAGAAGAATGAGGTGATTGAGTTGGGGCATCCGCGCTAAGGCGCTGAGGATCGCCGCGGCGTTGCTCGAATGCTGGGGCGTGGTCAAGATAAGGGTGACGAGGGAGGAGCTGAGAAGAGGGCTAGTCCATGAAAGTTGCAAGTCGTGTATATGCAGCGCTCGTAATCGTGGCGCTTGTCCGCACAAAAGGTCATCGCTGAATGTGATGAATCGTGCCTGATCTTGCTGCTGAGCTGGCGGTAGAGTTTCCCAACTCTCGTAGCAATTCATAGAGAAATGGCACAGGAGTAGCGCTGCGCTCCTTCCTTGGAGTAAGTGGCGCGAATGCTCAATGGTCCTACGACTCCCGAAGATAGTCAAGTTCTCGATGCGCGGAAGGTGCAAGAGCACCTTGGTCAAGAGGGTCAGAGCAAGGTTATCGCTTCCTGCCACCCGTTCAGCCAGTCTGTGAGCTCTGTCGTCGAAACAGACTGTGAGAGGTGCTACGCCTGAGCGAGACAGCATAGACTCGAGGAGCTCTTCGTTGACGAACTCTGGAGTTGCCCAAAAGCGAGGGGTCTGCAGTGCAACACGCCTGAAGTGGCGGTCCACCCAGGGAATGCTCCACCAGCCTTTCATGGGAGGGATGAGGGCGAAGACTGGTTGAGAGACGGTGTACCCAAAGATCAGAGACAAGAGCTCATCCGGAAGAGTGTGTATCGGGGAGTAGGTAGGCGTTAGTGATCTCGCGCGATCCGCGCTCGCCGCCGTCCGTTGATCGTCCATGCAAGCTGAAGACGAGATATTCCACAAGACTGGTAGCGTAGCTTGTGCAGTAGCTATATATACCGGTGTAAAGTGCGGCGAATCCTCGGTATAGACGTAAGAACGGTAAGTCGAAGCCTGTCAAAGCAGTGGTAGATGGCTGGCGCGTCTACAGCGTACTGGCTAGTACACGTCACTTGTCCGTCGAAGGCGAGGATCGTTGAATCGTGATGATGGTTCGGGGCAAATTCGGAAAAAGACCCTCGGTCGCCACAACTTTCAAACGGCACTATCGGTAAGCGCCGGTGGCTAGACAGACGAACTTGTAGACGGTACGCCAGACACTACAGCGTCACAGACACAGTCAGGAGAGCATTAGACTATTGCTTATTAGATACAAAACATCCACTGTCCGTCGTAAGGTATAAATCGGTAAGATCTGTAGATAAGGCTGGTCGGACCGGCCGTCCCTTCACCAGAAGCGCGACGTTTGGGGGTGGTGGTGTTGTACTACACGCAGCATATTGACGTTAGACGTCAGACTTGACCACTGAAGACGTGAGTCAGCACATGCACTAGGAAAAGTACAGCATCACGTACCGCATTCCCCACGAAGGTATCAGCGCGCGTGGCGATAAGCATGTCGATGGCCTGCGCAATGTATTTCTGCTCACGGGTCAACTTGAGCTCCCGGCTGGAATGTATCGATTTCCATCCTCCGAGCTCATTCAACGCCGCCTTCAACTCCGCGAACCAGTCCGACTTTCCATTGGTGAGAACGTAGATGCGGTCCAGGTTGCGACCCTGGCGTTGAGCATCGGAGCGCACTTGGCGGGCCTTTTCGACTATATCTTGAATGGAGGGGAAGCAATGTTTCCCATAGAACGCAAGACCCTCGGGAGAGGCCTCTCCCCATTCACCATTCTGAGGTGGAGTAAACTGATCGGGAAAGCCTTCACGCGTGTTGAAGGCGTTATACGCAGATTTCCACTTCGCCAGATGCGTGCAGTGACCCTCGAAATCGCCGCGTCGTACGTGCAAAGCAAGTAGCCCCGGGAGCTCCGCCCGTTGACTATCGCGAATCCCGGCGCCTGGATGGACTATCCTATAGTTTGTCTCCAAGGCCGAAGTGATGGTGTCAGACCACTGCCACTCAGTCAAGATGGGCGACTCGAGTAACGGCGGCCATAAGTCTGCCATGCGCTTGCCGTCACCCATAATGCTAACGAAGATGATCAGTGTACTGCTTGAACAGACAATCCGGAAAAACGTACTAGAAGTCGAGAACCTGCCCAGTGTTGTACTGAAACTCAACGCAGCCATCGTCAATAGACTTGAGTCGGTTCGCAAAGTGTGTCATGATCGTTAAGGCCGACGGTTCGCCAATCTCATGCTTTATGTCATCGACATTCAACATGACAGGGTGGGGACAAATCGACCTGAAGAAGGGTACGGATACGGCAGGCGGGCGATATTTGTCCGCGGGATAAGGACCTCCAGCAATAGGACCTATCCAGACACACGCACGAGTCAGCGTTGAGTGAAGTTCGCCGGACTATTGTCGTACCTTTGGCGTAGACCGAGATGGGTATTTGAGCGGGGATGATACTGTCACCCCACTTCGAGTAGTCGCCGACTCCGACATCCCAGGTATAGTTGTACATTACAAATCTGAAGGCACCATGAATGACTTTCTCGAACAACAACTGGTTGTACTGACGTTCGTTCAGCCATGTACGACAGGTGCGCGTTCATGATCATATCTTGCATCGCGTTCCCCCATCCGAGCACTACACTTCATCAACATCTTATCAGATGGGGATGAGTGATGGTACCTACATTGGACGTGTTGGTCGTACAGCACATACTTCCCATGCCTTCCTTGCGGTGGAGGGAGGTCTGGATTATTCTGTGGAAGAGCGAGTTCCTTTCGGAACCTGGGCGACATATGAGTAATTATTTTGACCGCGGGCCATGCCGGCACCTACCAGGAGTAGTAGTTTGGTGGGAGTCTTCTCCATTTTACAGGTAGCGTCTTGGATTCCGTGTACCAGAGATAGAAGTACGTCAAGAACAACGTCGCAGCGACACCAGCCAGCAATGACCACAGCCGCTTCAAGAGGCGGCGGCGGTTCAAGATCGGGGAGGCCTCCACGACGGAATGTCACTTCTGGGTCTCATGCAAAGTTGACGGTTGACGGGCGCTTACCATGATGTGCCGGACACCAAGCCCGAAGCAGCCTCAGAAGAAGTCGGTGACCAGAGTGATTTGAGTGTGATACCCCAGCCAAACTGCAAGCCCACAGACCGGCTAGTATACGAGTCCAAGAAGCACCGACAGCGAACCAGAGAACGGACTTGGTGATGGTTCGGGTACAACGTCGAAACGGCATTCGGTGACCGAGCCTCATCAGTGAGGCATCACGGCAACGTCCGACGGGGAATACCGAGATCAAATACTCTAAGCAGCCGCGCCGCAGTTGCCGCACGTACTCCCGGACTCATTCGTCTGCGCAACAAAGCCTTCTGGAGCCGATAAGTATGGCGCTCACTTGCTCTCCACTACGACGAGGTCTTATTGCTTTGCCTTACGATGGGGCTCTCGGCCGCTGCTGCCGCTGTTGCCGCGGCAATCTTACTTTCTGGGAGAGTGATGTGCGCGCTTAAACAAGGCGACTCTTCGATCTCAGATGTTCGCAAGCAAGTCCACTTTGCGGCCACATATTCTTCTGCTCGCGCATCGAGCGAAGAAGCTGACTGGAATGTACCTCCGCATCCTGACGCTACTGGGAATATCATCTTCAACTCTGTCGGCTCTCTGATGCAGCTATGGCCCAATACGGTCTGGAGGCACGGTGCGTAGTGTCCCTTCGCATTCATGATCACATCAACTCATAGACTGCATGCAGGTCATACCATGGCTCTGACGCACATACCAGCTGGCACACTCCTGCATCACGGTCTCATCACGCCGAATGGTTCAGTACCAACTCAACCCGACTGGCTCGCCTTCGACCAAGAACACTCATACATCTTCGTACGCCTCTTTACTTCTCTCTTCTCCCTACCCCTCTGACATCATGCTTACAGGGATCACAAGTCTGCAGACTGTACTCCTTCATAACAACGCGCGACATCAAGCTTCTCTACTTCGACGGCAACTCTGCGGCGAACGAGTACGGGATGATGGAGACCGCGGACTTGCTGGCATGGGGCGAGATCAGACCAGACAGGTCGAATAGCGAGTATGAGCGGATCGTGGCGCTTTGTGAGTGGGCGAAGCCGAGAGGTCTGGATGGGTTCATTCGCATGGAGTTCCATTTGTGAGTCCAGTCGCTAGTCTATCGTGCACGACCGCTAAGCCTTCGATAGCGAAGTCATGTACTGCGACTTCAGCGATGGTCTCGAGCTTGTCGACTCGATTGACATGTTACCGAAGACGGACAGTCACTGGCCATGGAACTGGAACCCTGGTAACACTCCTCGGACCCCGGGCGGACCTGGAAGGCCGAGTAACATGGGGGAACCTGGAGAACCGGATGAGCCAGGGCCACCGAGGAGACCAGGCGGACCAGGACGCGGCTGGCCTCCAAGCACTGAACCCGCCGTACCGCCTACAGGCTGGCGCGGCACACTTCCTACAGCCAACGACGCAATCTTTCAAGCAGTCGTAGCCGGGTCCTGGCATCACCGTGCTCCTGGAGAGACACGCGTCATCGTTGACTGGCATGGCGCAGTCACATTCTACGACCCTGCCCTCACGAGCTTGATCGATGGACGCAGAGGCCTGCCGCGCTCGCAACATTCACTCGCTTCCATCTCGCAAGAGGATATCGCGACGAAGCTCAAAGAGGTCGAAAATGTGGTGACAAGGGAGGGGAGGGGGAGTGGTGTCAACTGGGGCAGCATCATGCGTGTGGTTGTTGAGCGGTATAGTGCGCGTGTGGCTATGCTCAACGATACGCTCGCCCTCGAGTCTACGGCAAACTTCGCAAACGCGACATCTCAAGCCATTGCTGCGCGCGCCCAACTACTCGTCATGCTCACACCGTACTTCCATACACGCGACTTCGAGACCATATCAACCGACGCTTGGCTCGCCCCAACGGTCAATCGCTGCGCACGCACCCGGTTCTCACACATGCCTACCTCGCACCTTACGTACCAAGAGAAGCTCATCCTCGACGCAATTCAACAGACGACGCACGAGATCTGCAGACGTCTCGCGCTCATGTGGGTTGACGCGTTCGACATCGAGAGCCCCGATGCGGACGATGCAAGCGCTGCGCATGCCATTGAAGGATGGAGAAGACATACGACGGAGTTGATGGAATGGTTAGATTGGTCGACTTGGCAGACGTGTCGACCGGGATGCAATGTGAACGTGCGTTATCCCTCGCATCCCCACAAGGAGCTATATCTGACAAACTCTACAGGAATTCTGTTATATCCCGACTTGGCCTTTCGTAGTCGCCGGTGACCGAGAATCAGGCATGGCGCCGCGCTGTGTGGCTCTGAATGACGCAAGTGTCGTGAACCCCGGCTGGGGTCCTGGTCCAGGCGGACCCGGTGGCGGCGGTCGTTGGCCAGGAGGTCCAGGACGACGCCCCGGCGGTGGACATGGCAGACACGATGAGAACCGTGCTTGAGGGTCACACTAGATTAGACATCATTGTCCTTAGACTTTGTGGAATTGTATTCTGGGTTGCATGGAGAGCAAAGCAAAGCGCAAATAGAAGTGCATAGCAAGATACTTTTACATCGATAACCAATTCCCGGCTCTCATCCTCAAGCGCTCTCCGCCTGAATGCTCTTCAGGATATAGCCCTCCAACCCACCACATAGCCACAGCTCCTGTACACTCGGTCCAACAGGCTTCACAGTGTATCTCCTCTCCCCACCATCCATACCCTGGACAACAACGCTCCCATCCTTCATGCTAACGCTAATCTTCAACCCTCGGTTCACGGTGAGCTCGCCCTGATTGCCGCCAGCACCACGTGCGCCGTCCTTGGCGTACGTCGATGTGAGATCCGCGACGAGCTCGGGGCACTCAACGCATACGAGCCCATTGTTGATCGCGTTACGCTTGAAGATGTCGCCGAATGAGCCCGCGATAACCATGGGTACGCCCGCGGCCTTCAACGCGGTCGCGGCCTGCTCGCGCGACGAGCCCGTGCCGAAGTTGTATCCTGCGACCAAGATCGCCCGGCCCTCTTTGACATCTCCCGTAGACGTCGCGGGGGCGAACGAAGCGACGAGCTGAGCGAATGCTGGATCGTAGTTCTCCATGACCACCTCAGCCTGACGCGCGAGGGTGATATCGTCCTGATATGTGTACTTTCCGGGGTAGATCCCATCCGTGTTCAAGTTGTCCTGAGGCGCAAAGAGGAGTGTACCACGGAAGGTCGCGGGGAAGTCTGGAAGAAGTGGTTCCTCGCTTGCAGAAGCGGCCGCGGTGGCCGCCTTCGCGCCTGAGTCTGCAATTGAGAAGAACGGCGCGCCGGAAGGCGGGAGTGCAGATACGTCCAGAGAGTCGGGGCTGGCGATGTACCCCTTGAGAGCGCTCGCGGCAACAACAGCCGGGCTCGCGAGATATGCCAACGCCTTCGGGCTACCCATGCGGCCCTTGTAATTCCTATTCGTCGCACTGATCCCAACCTCGCCCTCCTCGAGAAGACCCGTTCCGAGTCCGATACACGGTCCGCAACCTGCCGGCAAGACCTTCGCGCCGCTGAGCGTCAACGCTTCCCAGTCGCCGCTCGCCTCAGCTTCGAGTTGTACGGCAGATGAGGCGGCTGCAATGTAGAACTCCACGCCGGGTGCGATCTTGTGCCCACGGACGACGGATGCTGCGGCTGCGATGTCGGAAGCGCGAGAGTTGGTACAACTGACAAGGTAAGCCTTCTGGATTGGGATCTTCTCCGACTCAAGCTTGGGTAGCGGAGTGGACACCTTGACGCTGTTCGGGCCAGATACGTGCGGTACGAGGGTCGACAAGTCCAGAATGAGGTGCGAAGAGTACGACGCATCTACGTCAGATATAATAGGCGCCGCACGTAGTGAGTCGAGCCGTCTCCTGTTGATGCGCGGGTGTTCTGGTGGTGGTGGAATATCATCGCCTGGGATAGAGAACGTCCTGAACTCGAGCTTCTTGAGCTGCTTCTCGTACCAATCCAGTGTCTTCTCGTCCACCGGGAACAAGCCAACCAATGCACCCCACTCCGTGGTCATGTTCGCGATAGTAAGCCGGTCATCGACGGATAGAGCTTTGACGCCATCTCCGGTGAACTCGATAGCGGCGTTCAAGACCTCGTCGTTATTGAAGCTGCCGCACAGCGCCACAATGATATCCTTCCCTGTCACACCGGGCGCCAATCTGCCGCGAAGTTCGACCTTGACCATACGCGGGACCTGCCACCATGTCTTTCCCGTAGCCCAAATTGCCGCTGCGTCCGTTCGGACGATCGGTGTCCCGACACAACCAACTCCGCCGTACATGTTACTGTGACTGTCGGAGGCCACCGTAAGCGTGTACGGGAACGCATAGCCCTCTTCAACAAGGACTTGATGTCCAATCCCGCGTCCTGCGGGATAGAAGTCTACGCCATGTTGTCGCGCAAAGATTTCGATGTCGGCGTATTTCTTTAAGTTCTTGTCCGAGCGGTTCTGGACGTCATGGTCAAGCGTGAAGACCGGTTGCTTGGGATTATGTATCTTCTTGGCACCTATCGACTTGAACCTAACATGAGCACGCGTAAGCTACGCAAAGTCAAATAATGATGAACATCCGTACTTGGATATCACAGGTCCAGTGTTGTCGTGTGTCATGACGTGCTCGGGTCGAAGCATAACGTAGTCCCCGGCTTTCACGGCCTTGCCGTCCGGTAGTCCAACCGCGTACTTCTGCACGACCTTCTCAATGATTGTCTGTGGTGTCCGTGGTTGGCTGGGAGCCGCCGTGGCTAGCGTCCGGATGCATCCAGCCCGTTGAGCGCGCCATGCGAGCGCGTGCAAAGGCAAGCGCATGACGGAGGTCTTTACGCTGAGCTGAGTACTTCGACAGTATGTGCGCTATGCAGGCACACACTGTACCGCACTAAGTGCGCGTCCTCGATAGAAATGCGGGGAGAGGTGAAGGCAGAAGTGAAAGCTGTAAACTTGACTCCGTGCCGAAATCATGACGTCGGCGTTATCGGACATGGCCTCATACCCGCCTCCTGATTGGCCGAATGCATGGCGTGTTGCTCTCGACCATCATTTCCTCGACAGCTGGTCGCATAAAGTCAGCCTGGCATCGGGCTACATATACACACTCCACAGCTACATCTCAGCCACTGTACAAGCGGAATCATGAATACGCGTCTTGTGGCACTCCGATGTGTCGTTTCCGAGTCTCCCACTGACGCTACTGATGAGCCCTTCTCAGTCCTTCCTGGGGCTATACGTGTGCTTCTGCGTCCTCTACCTTCTCTCTCTTGACCCACGAATACACGATGGCGACAAAGATTACGACCGCCCACCGCATAGAGCAGTGACTGTAGTGACCTTCCAGGAGAACCCTGTGCCGGATATCATACAGTTCGTGCCGACTCCAGCACAAGAAGCGCTCAACAGCATGTGGATCATGGCCACTCAATGAGCACCATTTTTTACCTGGGCCGTTACTGCATCTGCAGAGAGTAAGCTGATGACACCGATGGCTGCACACGTCTCAAGGAACACGGACGGTGGCGACGTAGTGCTGGTAAAGGCAGTCGACGCGATGGACATGCAGATCGTAGCAGCGAGTGTCGGCAAGGTATGAGCTGATGACCATCACGGATGTACTGGTAAGTTTTGCTTCGGCGATTTTGGTGCCTGATACGCCTATCGCCATCTACTGCGTGAACGATGGGTCCAACGAGAGGACTCCGTACTCGAGGTAGCGACGAAAGCAAAACGCAGTGAGATCATTTCTACACTACAGTAGCGCAGGGGTCATTTACGAGCATGACACAGGGAGCCCACATCTACATCAGGGCGGGTATTGCGGACGAGCAAAACGCAGTAAGCCCGCGTCTAGATTACTAGAGCAGGTACGAGGGAGGGGTCCACACAAAGTATCATTCCCGCTACAACTTCACGGTCACTTCACGAAGTTGCCGCACGACGTCGTGAGTACCAGGACCCCGAACGCATTGGATCCTAAAGTATCAAACAATGATAGTCGATGGCATTCTGTCGTTATCATGGAGAGTACAACCCAAGACACTCCTGGGCACAAGCTCCTTTCCCTGTCACCTCGACGGGCGAAGAATGACTGTGCATGTGGAGCACGTATACATTGTGTCAAAATCAAAAACGCAGATAGGGATGCATATTCATGTGGTACCCCTTTCCTCCCATCCACCGCGCTTCTATGCATTTCACGAATTGCTATAGTACTGCCAACCGACCCAGTTCGCGATGACGAAGTAAGACGTCGTAGGGATGATGAGGATCGCGAAACAAGTATAGTGGTAGTCGCTCAAGACAGCTCTCAGAACCTGGTACAGGCATATCAGTCTGCATTCACATATATTCAGATACGGATGGAATCAGTGCGTACCGTTGAGGATGGCATAGGAAGTAGATGCCCCAAGAGCAAAGTGTACAACCCGCATAGGAAGAAGAGCGCTGTCAGCAGCAGTACGAGATAGCCTGAGCGAGCTGACGGGAGTGACATGGGAATGTGGCTAATTGGGGATATGCATGTGGATATTGTACATGGGTGTGGGCCGCCCAGTAAGCTGAAGGGAGATGGTGGTCAACTGCAAGTCACCGCTGCGCGTCCCGCAGTCGCCGCCGCGTCAAGCGTCAGCGACTGAAGCCAGGCTTGCACCGTGCGCTCATGCCTACTACACCCTTGGCGTCAGCACCAGGGACACCAAAGAGTAACGTTCCCTTCGCCGACCATCCTTGTCAACAAATCATTCCTGAAATATCGCCCTGTCGATCCTCGGGCGTCTACGTGACGCTCAAGTCACGGGTGGATACGCCGATTTCCAGCACGAACGATGATGTCAACGACTTGACGCGTCCTTGACGCGCGCAGATACGCGTCCCTCGGCAAGCTTCGGTTAGGCCCTTGCCGTAGCTCGGTTGATTATGCGAATCGTCGAAGAGGATGGCTGGGTGACAACGCAATGTACCCACAGAACCTCCTATGACGACCTCACCATTATGCTGGAGCTCATCGCTGTGGCTCGCAGGCAGGAGGCTTTTGGTGTGGATCTCGATGACGGCGGGCGCGTATAAAACTTGACAGGGAAGATGGATTGCAGCCACCAAGAGGCCACAGGACCAGTCCCACCACCTGCTCGATCTCAACTTGCTCTCGCTCACCACCCACTACATCTAAGCAATGGTCCGCACTACGACTCTCGGCGGATCCGCCAAGGATATCTCTGTCGCCAAAGTCGGCGTACGTCAATGCATCCATCTACCTTATCGGATATGAACTGATCTGCTGTGGCGTGATATACAGACGGGGCTCATGATGCTGACGTGCGTTCGTTCTGCTTTAATCGGCCTTCCTCTCTGATCCTGACTGGTTTCATCTGCGTAGCTGGACGCCCAAGCCTACTCCTGATGAGCAGGCCTTCGAGGCGATCAAGGCTGCCATTGACGCCGTCCCCGCTGGATCCAAGATGCTCTTGAATAGCTGTATGTCTAACTTTTGAGTCTGCTACGATCGCATGGGTCTGACTATGCTCGGTTGATAGCTCAGTTTTATGCGCAAGACTTCGGTACCGCCAATCTCGAGCTCCTCGCCCGCTTCTTCGACAAGCATCCGGGATACGCCGATAAGGTGATCCTGAGCGTCAAGGTATGAGACCTGACCTTGTGGTTGTGAATGACGATCTCATATATTGATACACTTGCAGGGTGGTACCAAGCCCAACACTGTCGTCCCTGACCCTTCGTATGTCCGCATCCTTCGGCATATTGCCACCATTTCATTGATAGGTCTTCCTGTCCAGCCCCGAGGGTATTCGCACCTCGGTCGAGCTCTGCGTCAAGGCACTTCGTGGCACCAAGAAGATCGACATCTTTGAGAACGCACGTGTGTCGCGCGAGACACCTCTCGCCACGCAGTACGAGACCTTCAAGGCCTTGATCGAGGAAGGCCTGATCGGTTACATTGGCCTGTCCGAGTGCAGTGCGGCAACTGTTCGCGAGGTCAACGAGATTGTCCCCGTCGCTGCTGTTGAGATTGAGGTCAGCCCATGGAGTTACGAGGAGGAGACCAAGAAAGGTTTGTGCGCTGGTCAACTACAGAGTGTTTCAATGACGAATCGTGTATAGTGATCGCAACTTGCGCTGAGCTTGGTATCGCCGTCGTCGCATACTCTCCTCTCGGACGCGGCTTTTTGACTGGCGAGCTGCCGAAGCTCGAGGAGGGCGACATGCGCAACCGCTTCTCGCGCTTTCAGGGCGACGTACGTTCATATTCATGGCTGACTCTGGGAGATATGCTGACTAAACGCAATTCAGAACTTGAATAACAACTACAAGCTCGTCGAGGCGCTCAAGAAGTTCGCAGAGAAGAAGGGCATCACGGCTGCTCAGCTTTGCCTCGCCTGGGTGCAGTCCCTCGGCGAGCGTGTCATCCCTATTCCAGGATCCAGCAAGGCCTCGCGCGTTATCGACAACATCAAGACGAGCGACATCACGCTCTCGAGCGAGGAGCGCGCCGAGCTTGACCAGATCTTGAAGGACATTCCTGTCTCGGGCGGTCGTTACGTTGATAGCGTGCCGGACCACGTCTTGCACCTCTGGGGTTGAGTCTTGTCTCGTGTAGACATGTGTGAACTGCAAATGTACTGCCTATCGTAAATCATGCTCGAAAACACGCTTCTTCAACCCCTAATGACGTCTGCCGCGCGTCTCTGGTGATGAGCGATTGCCCGGTTCTTTTGGCCCAGGCGCACTTTGTTGAGGATTACCTGGCGCAAATGATACGGGCTGCAACAAGTCTTATTGTATATGTACAGCATTAGCAGCAATATATAATTCCAGGTTCAACCTCCAGAATCCTGTGTACAGTCGTGACGTCAATGAATGATCTTCAAGCCATCATGGAATGACCATGACACCCAAGAGACGGTATCCCGACCTCTAATTGTGGGTATCACCTCAATCTGCAGCTGTGAGATCCGCAACGCAGAGCGAGTGGCGCGTCATATAGTATGGCGCTTCACTGGGTCCGGACCGGATTGCCGTGGCCTGATGGGAGATCGGAGCGGTCCACGGCGCAGCCACCCGGCGGAATTGCGACTTGGAAGAAACCAGTCCGTTGTCGCGCGAGGCATGACCACAAACACATCGCACTTCCAGTACGCGTTTGCTCGGCAGCTTCACCTACTTCTCGCCGTGAACCCACACCAACCAGAGCAACAGTCTTCGTACATCAGAGAGCATCCACACGGATATCTCAGTTTAACCGCTGACGTTACCGTCATCATGCAACGGTTGTTTGCCGATCAGACGCGGCTCTGCGCCTTTGCGGATGTACCGCTGTGAACGAGGAGCGTTGGACGATCCGCTGCACGCTGTGCTGTAATGGAAATGAGCAGCGTACGACTATATAAGGTTGGATCTGCCTATGGATATGACCATAGGATCCAGTCCACCAATCTCTCTCCACTTCAGCTCTCTACCTGCTCTACCACCATGGTTCGCACTACAACTCTCGGCGGCTCAGCCAAGGGCGTCACTGTCGCTAAAGTCGGCGTACGTGTATTTACTCATCTTGTGGTGGTCTGTTCTCTGACCCGTGTTCTGTGAACTATAGACTGGACTCATGATGTTGTCGTACGTCTTCCTTCCAACGATTGCCTTCCGCTTTAACGACTGACGTGTTCCCCGTCATAGTTGGAATCCCGCGCCCAATGCTGACGATCAAGCCTTCGAAGCGATCAAGGCTGCCATCGACAGTGTACCTGCCGGAGCCAAGATGCTTCTGAACAGCTGTACGCTCCACTTGCGACCGCGTGCATCTAGAGGTTCTCACTGACCATACCAATAGCCCAGTTCTACGCGCGAGATTTCGGAACCGCAAACCTCGAGCTCTTAGCCCGCTTCTTTGACAAGCACCCTGGTTATGCGGACAAGGTTTTCTTGAGCGTCAAGGCATGTAACACTACCCCTGCTATCATCACATGCGTCTAATAGTAAATCACTTTTAGGGTGGAACCAAGCCGAATAGTCTCGTGCCCGACGCATCGTACGATACTCCCTTCTGCCATACCTATGCTTTACTAATCGCTGCATATCATCTAGCCCTGAAGGACTCCGCACCTCTATTGATCTGTGCGTCAAGGCCCTTCGTGGCACTAAGAAGATCGACCTCTTTGAGAACGCCCGCGTCACGCGTGATACGCCTCTTGCAAAGCAATACGAAGTCCTCAAGGGTTTCGTCGACGAGGGCCTGATTGGGCACATCGGTTTGTCGGAGTGCAGCGCCGCGACTATCCGCGAAGTCAAAGGCCTCGTGCCTGTCGCCGCCGTTGAGATCGAAGTCAGCCCATGGAGCTATGAGGAAGAGACGAAGAAGGGTACGCTCATTGCTCGTGTTGGTGCAAAGCATATAGGCTGATGAAGCTTCGAACAGTGATCGCGACTTGTGCTGAGCTCGGCGTTGCCGTCGTCGCGTACTCGCCTCTTGGCCGCGGCTTCTTGACCGGCGAGATGGCTAAACTCTCCGAGGATGATATGCGCAACCGTCTCTCACGCTTCCAGGGTGATGTACGTTCAATCCTCTGCAATGCTGCACCGAACATTGGACTGATTGGGCAACAGAACTTCAAGAACAACTTCAAGCTTGTCGAAGCTCTGAAGGGCGTCGCGGAGAAGAAGGGCATTACCGCCGCTCAGCTCTGCCTCGCGTGGGTACAATCCCTCGGGGAACATGTTATCCCTATCCCTGGCTCCAGCAAGGCGTCGCGCGTCATTGACAACATCAATACGAGCGAGATTCAGTTCACGGCCGACGAGCTTGCGGAGATTGAGAGGATCTTGAAGGAGAACCCGGTCTCGGGCGGCCGGTATGTTGATGGTGTACCAGACAACGTTTTGCATCTTTGGGGCTGAATATAGACGTGTATGATGTGCAATGCATGTTATAGGAGAAAGTATGACGAATGTCTAGCGAAAATGTCCTGAACGAAATGAATGAGATGCAAAGCATTTAGATCCCGATGTCCATGAGTCTCGCAGCCCTCACATTCCCAAAACGAGTAGCTCACGCGTTTACCGCGTTGCAAGCCTGGACGTTGAGCTATTCATGGTCGTTAGCGCCGATGCGTATCAACGCGAACAAGACATACCCCGCTGAAGTGGCTTCCGTTACAGCAGACATTCTGCTGGTTGCATGACACGCTGCCAGAGCCCGAGCAAACAACGGCCACGCCGTTGTTACTCGCCTGGGCCTGTTGAAGCGCGATGATTTGGTCCGGGGTGAAGCCCAGGAACAGGAGCTGGAGATAGGAGTTCTGGGTAGGCGTGAGTTTGAGTGTAGAAAGCGCGAGGAGAAGTCAACGTACGCGGTTGAAAGTCGTGCTGCTGGACGACTGGACGTTGTTACAGCATTGCACGCTGCCGCTGCTGCATTGGCGCTTCACGAGCTCGAAGTTGTTAACCGCCTCAGGCGAGGGCTCGGGAGACGCGACAACGCCGAGAGCGAGGGCGGCAATGGAGAAGATAGCGGTGAAGGCACGCATTGCGAATTGAGAGGGGCTGAGGAAAAGTTGATGGGGCAGAGTAGTGAGTGCTGATGGGAGAGCGCTGAGTTATGAATGAGTACTGCGCCAGGCTTATATACAACCATTGTCAGTAGAGCATAGGAGTACGTATATCGGAACTCGAGGATACTTGGCGAGGAGCAGTGCAAAGACACAGACCCTGAGTCGACATGGACCCTGGGCTGTGGAGTCTGACATCTGAACCCACTTGCCGCACACACTTCGTGGTACACTGACACTAGCCCATATATCGGCATCACGCATGTCTCTATCTGAAGACATCTATAGATTTTGCTTCCGGGCATACTCGAGCAGAGCAGAGCAAGATCTACAAGTCTATCCTTCTTCTCCTATGCGCCCGGCTTTCTTTCAATGCCTCCGTGAGCCCCTCGGCTATCATATCCGTCCCATTAGGTGGTGTGGGTGGCCAACCCGACGGAGGCTGGCTCGTTCTCCGCCTCGAATGTATGCTGACGCATCTAGGGGTGAATTCTAAGTCACTAGGGTCGTCGCCATCAAGGGTGAAGGGCCAGGTCGTGATATAGCATATCTCCTGTGGTATATGCACAATGATCAGTCTTGCAGCAGGGAAGGTTGACATAGTAACGTACATCGGCCGCGCATCCCGGTCTACAACTCTTGAAACTCGTCCAGTCCAACCATCCCAACAGCTCATCAACCAATGCCTTCCACCGCGGCATCAACTCCTTCGCCCTTCCTTCACCAGTCTTCTCTACTCCGAACGCATCGAGCCATATAAGGCCAATAACACGGCATATGCCCGCTTGCGTCCCTTCAATAGCGTCAAGTGCGATGCGCTCTTGAGGCGTGAGCCGATTGAAAAGAACAGCACGGATGCCTGACGTCGCGAATGTACTGCAGCGCTCCATAGGTGCATCCAGCCAGCTCGTCGTATTGGGCGAATAAGATCCGACATCTGCGGTCGTGACGAAGGGAGAGATCATGATGAGCACATCACGCCGTATAGCAGCGGCTTGCGCGCTGGCGTTCGTGTAAGACGATGCGGAGTGCAATGTGTAGTTGAGATCGAGCAACCGCGAGCTGTATCGTTCCTCGACCTGTCTCATCGCGCTAGCCCAATCCGCGCCGCTGCCTGAAGAGGCTTCACCTCGCCAAGCCTCTAGCACTTCTTCGATCTCCTGCACCTTGGCTCTCGCGTCCTCTCGTGATATGCCCGCCAACCGATGTCTCGTCCTCGGCATACCTCTCCGCCTTTCCCGCAAGGATTCCAAGCTCGGATCGTAGAACGTGACCGCGCGATCGAGGTGCGGCCGTACCCGGGTCTCTCCTGGTGAGCGCGCGTGCCATTCGCCTGCCATCATACCCTGGATGAAGACAGTCACGGCGTCGGGCTGGGTGCCTATCCATTTGTCTGGTAAGCCAGAGGAGGTGTTGGTACCAGGCCAGTCGTTCTGCGGAATGCCAGGTGGCGGCTGTTTGGGGATCCCAGCAAGCGGTTCGAGGAGTGTGAGGCCGTTGGTGAAGTTACAAAATATCACTTCGAAGTGAAACTCCATCCGGATGAATCCGTCAAGTCCTAGTGGTACGCCCCAATCGCATAACGCCTCTGCGCGCTGCCACTCTTCCCAATCCCTCGATGGCTCCGGCACCTCCCCGTACAGAATCACATCGATAGTCTGCATCGCCTCAATCCAATTTGCCGCGCTCGCCCCGTCCAGATACAAGAGCTTGAGGTCTCTATTCGCCACGAACTTGAAGACATGACATTCGAAGGCGCAGAAGATGTAAGCGTGTTCGAAGTCAAATGCTAGCCATTCAAATGAGGTGGGTACGGTGGCGTTTGGGAAGAAAGAGCCGTGGTGGAGGATTGTGCCAGCGGGGATCGTAGCTGGAACGACAGTATGACCGGTGCGGAAAATGGTATTAGGCCAGAATTGAAGCAGGCCGCTCAGCGAGGAGAAGATGTCGGCCGCCGTCGAGTCGGGAGATGGCGCGTCTGTCCAACTTGACCGCACGCTGGCCGGCTCGGCCGGGTTGACCAGCGGGACTTGCGCGCCGCCCGCAACAGCGAGCCACCATGCGAGCGTCGACAGCAACAAGCTCACGGACACCATGCGGAAGTGAGCTCGAAAGGACGTTTCGTCCATATATCAAGCTCAAGATGGGCGCGGTTCCGGCGCCGCTGGAGTCAATAGCGGGAGGCACACGCAGGCCATACTAGACCCGCAAACGCATGCGGATGTATCGATCCTTATCGTCAAGTATCGGTGTAGCACATCATTGGTGCCTATAGGTAGCCCGCTGACCCGTTGTGGCACAAATAAGGGATTCGGTATGCGTGAATATGGTTAGGAGCAACCTGCGCTGCTGTCGGACAGTGCTTCGGGCCGGCCCGATATCGCCGAAGCGCAGGCTCGCGCGTCTCTTGTCCACTTGCACTTGCACTCGGCCACGATGATGCTCATATGATACATCCACTTTCAGAAGCGCTCTGAAGACGTGTATGAGCTTCGCATCTGTCTGTCGTCTTGCAGGCTGAGGAAAGAACGGAAGCCTAGGGCTTTGACAAAGTTCATGTCTGAGGTCCCTGCACCGCTATCGACGACGTATACACTTATGTCTCCGTTTGTTCTCCTGTGCATTATACCCCTCGAGACGCGCGTATATAGAGTCACCAGCGATCCACGATACCCCAGCGCTCTACTCCAGACCTCACTCCTCCAAACTCGCCGAACCCAACCTTCAACTCAAACCCAACAAATCCCACAATGCGTGCCTTCACCGCTCTTTTCTCCATCGCCACTTTGGCTCTCGGCGTCATCGCCACTCCTTCCCCTGAGGCGGAGAGCAGCTACGAGCTCGTCAAACGCAACTGCGGTGGCGGTAGTGTTCAGTGCTGCAACAGCGTTCAATCATCCAGTAGCACGAACTTCACCCGCGTATGTCTCTTTCTGCTCGCTTCTTGACCTCATCATGTTGATGCTAGCACGGATAGAACACCTACTTCTACCTCCTTTTCCTCGGCTTCACCCCCGCTCAAATTGTTGCGCTTCAACAGGCCCAGGCGAGCAACAACGGCGTGGCCGTTGTTTGCTCGGGCTCTGGCAGCGTGTCATGCAACCAGCAGAACGTCTGCTGCAACGGCAGCCACTTCAGCGGCGTATGTTTTCTCCCCGTATCGAGTGGAAGGAGATGCTGATGTCCTTCTTAGCTGAACGTTCAGGCTTGCAACGCGGTCAACGCTTGAAGGGTTTGTAGCAGCGCGTTGGTTAGGAGATGATTGGCCTTCGTAGATTCTCGCCTCCGTGTATTAGACTCTCTTTCGGGATATGGAGGACATTACAGACAGATTGGTCTTCACCAGTCACCCGTGTTGTACAGTGCCAGAAACAACAGATAGGTGATGCAAAGGCTGTTGATCGGATTTGCTACGTGCATGCACGATGACATACTTAAGCGATTCTGCAAACGAGCTTCTCGCGACCGTACGCTCCGTCCCGCATAATCTTCAGACCTTCTTCAAGACCATCGAACCCAGGATTAAGCACGCGCAACCGCTGTGTCTTGAAGCGTGGCGCGCCTTCGCCCGCCTTCCAGCCCTCAAGCACGCGAAGGATGTCATTGGCGCAGTATGCCTGGATCGCGGCCTTATCGTCCGGCCTCGCTGGGAAGTGCGCGGTGTGCGCGAAGTGGATGGGGTAGCCGAGGATTGTGTAACCGAGAGTGAGTTCGACTTTGACATTGGAACGGCGCTTCTGGGTCGCGTCGGAAACGGGCAGCAAGACAATGACCTTGCTATCGCGAGTGTGTGACATCGCATCCTAAGCACCAAGCAGTCAGTATATCTTCATGTGAGCCACGATGCAGCGGACGCACGATGGTCGTATCCGTAGTTCCGTTCTCTGCAACGGTATCGAGCGCGTAGATGATGCCCTTCTCGCCGGCAGCTGCTTGGATCTTCGAAGCGACTTCAGGATCCTTGTAGTCGAAAACGTGCGATGCGCCGAGAGCTTTAACTTCTTCATGAGCAGAAGGCGACGCCGTCACGAAAACCTCCAACCCCGAAAGCACTGCCAGCTGGATGGCATGGTGCCCAACTGCCGTGCTCCCGCCCCAGATCAGGATCTTCTCGCCCCGCTTCTTGAACTCGGTAGCCTCTGGCGTGAGCGGCTTGGGAAGTCCCAAGCGCATGTAGAACGTTTGTACGGAGGTGTAGTGTGGGATGGGGATCGATGCGCCTTCTTCGTACGTCATGTCGGGCGGAAGGACAAAGGCTGCAGCTGCGATGAAGCGGGCGTATTCGGCGTATGCTCCGTTATCAGTTTGCCAGGCGCCGCCTTCACTGTAAGGGGTGTAAGCACAGTCGATTCAGAAAGGGGCGCGATGAAGTGCACGCACTTGAAAGCCGCGACGCGATCTCCAACCGTGATATGAGTTACGGCTGAGCCGACGGCGAGAACGTCTCCAGCTGCATCACAGCCAGCGATCGTGCCGCCCGAGCCCCAGTCGCCGAGAGCATGCTTCCAGTCGGTGGGGTTCAATCCGACAACGCGAACGCGCACCTGCTCGTTCGTGAGTTTTGGTAGCTAGCTATGAAGAACGGAGGCACGTACAAGAATTTGGTCCTCGGGAAGGTTCTGCACCTTCTCTTGCGAGGCGAATGGGAGGTCTATAACCTTAACAGTCCGGTCATCCTGAACTTGAAGCGCTTTGATCGTCTCGGGGAGGGAGACCATATTGAGAATATTGAGGGTGCAGATTTCGAAGCAGAGATTGAAGATTGGTGGAGTACGAACTCGATGGGTTCCCGATCCCCATTATTTATAAAGACTGCAAACCGGAAGAGTCGGGCTTTCTTTCAGCGACAGCCCCACTCGGATGCGCCAGTTGCGCGACCATGACGGCCATAGCATGTCAGCCCGAACTGGCTCGGATATACGGCAGTCACAGTAAAGCTCGAGCGCGAGTCCGGCGTTTTCTCAGTTATGATTAGCAATGGGTGTTATCCGACGCTATGTATAAGGCAGTCTATGGCGAAGGTGCAAGATGGTGGTTAAAGTCAGAGCGCTGTGCGTCGGTCAGCACGTCCCGACTCGGCATCAAGCCGTCCCCGAGGAGCCCCGAGGCTTTCCCGAGTCATCTCAACACAAAAATTAGTGTGGCTGGTCGTCTCGGAGTGCTATCTCACTAAGTAGCAGTACTAGTGTCCGAAAAGCGAGTGCTCTGACATGAAGTAGTCTGTAGGCCGAATTTTGCAATTGTCAAACAGCGTGGATGATGGCCGTAAGATAAATTACTAGTACGGATGCAACCTTACGCGAGCTTGCAAACGAGCTTCTCAAGAGCATATGCCCCATCGCGCATGATCTTCAGTACTTACCTCCTCGATCTCTGCAAGACTCATCCAGCGGCACACGTAGCCTATGCGTCTTGGAGTACGAGCTGCCCTTTCCCGCGTTCCACGCCCGAAGAACGCGGGGAATATCAGTCTGCCGGCCCGCCCATGGCCCGCTCGGAAGCACAAAGTACGAAACAATGCCAGCTATGCCTTGCAAGCACCGAATACGCTCCAGGCGTAGACAGGACTTCGGTATGCTCATATCGGCTGAAATACTACGACTTCACAAGTAATAAGGGTTATCCGGAGTTATCAGGCGTTGCTCGGTGAGCCGTGTGAGGCTGATGGTACGTAGTTTCAGGAGTGCGAGCGGCGTAAAGCGGTCAACAGAGAGTGACGAAGCGTCTTTTTCAGCAGCACAGCGTCCCCCGAGTCTTTCCCGACCGACCACGGTAGTCTGGGTCAAGTTGGGGTCAAGGAGTATCAAAAGCATACCAACGCGACACGTCACCGTGTGACACGACGCGTTGGACGATGTTGACCCTCGGGCCGTGCCGCCACGGCGCGTCGTCGTCTCTTGACGGCGACCATCATCGCACATTCCGTCCACCTGTCGTTCGAGATTTTGGGCCGATATTCTCCTTCCATACACCTCTCTGACGCGCGTACATACCCGGAGAGTTCAAAGCATGTTCACGGGGACGAGGCTTGGGGAATCCGCCTGGGGCACACACCTGGCGCCGCGGTCTCTCGCGGACGTTACGTCGGGCAACGGGCATGCCTTCGATGCCCGAGTGTCACTAATTTATCAGTCCTCGCTCTAGATCCCTCTTTTATGGCGTCTGACGAGGGAGACCGGGGCGCGCAGAGTGCCTCCAAGCTCACGGGACCGCGTCCAGTCGTAGAGTCGAATCACTGAGACTTAAGGATCGAAGCATCCCTCATCAACCGCCTGTAGCAGTCATTCATACGCGATCACGATGTTGAAGTCTGCTACTAGTGCCGAGCGGCGAGGACCCTCCGCGCCTCCGTCCTGCAATCGAAGCACTTGTCCTGAACGGCCATCACGCATTCCAATTGGATAACCCTCGACTGACTCTGCGAAGATAGTTCTACCCGCACAGCAGCTGCATGGTCGGGATAGACGTCGCGCTCAACGACCTTCCAAGGGTCGGAATTGGCCTACAAGCGAGCGCTTTTTCAGAACCAGATCCCCCGTGCGTCCATTGCTTACGAAGTCGCGCACTGTCAATGCTGATGACGTTCTATTGATAGCATATGGCGTGATGTTCGACTTTGTCCGGGATACGTGGCCGCACTGAGTCTACTCCTACTGGTCGAACGAGGTGTGTCGTATGCCCTCGCGAAGTTAGCGAAGGAGCCTCGAAGCTCGACTGGCACACGCAGAGAGCGCATTCTCGTCAATCTTTTCAGCGCGTCCACGCGCCGGGAGCATATCAACAATCGAGGCGGATGCACAATCTGGCTCTTTGCAGTTGCACGTCTCGTAGGCGTGCTCGTACTTCTGGCGTTGCACGTTACAGGCTTTTCAAGCGAAGGACGGAATGGTGCCCCGAACTACTACGAAGATCTACTGCGTGTTTCATACAATCGGAAGTGGCTGAACGTTATATCGTGCGCTGTCTACGTATGTTTATGTGTTCTCGAGATTGAACACGAACTGATATCTCGCTAGGGCTACGCTTCTCTCCTCGCAGTGCTCGTGGTAGTAGCCAAGCGCTCGTTTGCCAATGCCTTGTCCCTTCATCTCACGTGCCTCTTACTCGCTGCATGTGCTGTTTACGCCTACCGCGACATCTGGCCGCTCATGACCTTCCCTCTTACACCCATTGATGCATCTCATGACGCTCTAGTTTGGTGGAAGATCGCCCTCCTCGGTCTGACCGGCATCCTTTCTCCGCTATGCGTTCCTCGGCAATATGTTCCCGTCAATCCAGTTAAGCCACAAGAGGCGCCGAATCCAGAGCAGACGGCTAGTATTCTAAGCCTCGTCACGTTCTCGTTTCTCAGCGACATCATCCTAAGTGCTTACCGAATGGCGCACTATCCGTACGAGATGCTACCTCCCTTATGCGATTATGATCGGGCAGAAGAACTCGCCCGTCGAGCGTTCAAATACCTGGACACCTTCTCGGGAGCACGAAGGGAGCACGCGTTCAAAGGCCTCATGCGAGTATTCTGTATGCTACTATATCTCCAGAGTATCATGGAAGATCGCTAACTATAGTCGCAGGGAAGGAGTACTGCGTGTTGGCGTTGATGCTTGTCGGACGTGCTTTGATGTCCTTCCTATCTCCCATCGGAGTTAATCGCCTTCTTGCGTACGCGCCACGTCTGATGCCTCATGATCATCTTGGACTAACTTCACTTGAAGGTATATTGAGAACAGTGGTCAGGGCGCTTTCGTGCGCCCGTGGGTCTGGGTATTTTTCCTCTTCCTCTCGCCATTCATGATGAGCCTCACCTTCCAATGGTACATCTGGACCACGGTACGCTATCCAACGATCTCCGCTCATTCGGGCCCTAACACCGCCATCTCTCCAGACGTCAACCCTTGTTCGCGCGCAGAGCTTCATAACGCAGCTGATTTTCGAGCACGCTCTCCGAATGCGGGTCAAGGTTGATGCGACAGAAACGGGCGGTGTGGATGATGCGAAGAATGAAAAGGGGTCAACCTTGCAAGGACGTATCATGAATTGTCAGTGTGTGCTCTTTCACCTCAGAGAACTACATGCATCGAAACTCACCATCGTACAGTGGTCACGATCGATCTAGAGAATATTGTGACTGGACGCGACTTCCTACAGGCCGTTCTTTTCGCACCCCTGCAATGTGCTATCAGCATATGGGGGCTTTACCTACTCCTTGGCTGGAGGTTGGTATTAAGTCATTCTTTGTAATCGCTGCTGATCGAACATATCAGTGGATTCGTGGGAATGGCAGTCATGTTGATATGCTTTCCCGTTGTTGCGGCGCAATGCCCCAAGACAAACACAACCACGCGTAAGACAAACGCGAGCAGAAGGAGGGCTAGTCTGAGCCCACGGAGAAGAGACACGAACACACGTATACAGACGTGCGAGAGAATGGTGAATACCTGATCACAGCAAAGAGTCCCGGACAGATGTCGAGCGGGCACGGCCTTACTAGCGCGAAGCAAGTAGCTAGACCGCAACTCAAAGTTAGATAACTTCTACATAAAGTACAACGCAAACCACTCACCTAGACCGCAACTCAAAGAGGCTGAGATGCAGATCTAGGATGAGTTTGACAGGCTTTTATAGTACTCTACCAGTCCTATGCCGAGGCTGTGCCGTACGCTGTAAACCTGCGCCGTACTGCCGAATGCACTGCCGAGCGCTGCAAAGCTGTACCGTACTGCCGAACGCTGTAAAGCTACGCCGCNCCGAGGCTATGCGAGAAAAGAACAAGTCCAAAGAGAAGCGCATAAGGCATAAACGAGCATACACATAGGCCAAATCACGAGTCCATAACGAGTCACGAGACTTAGTCTGCATCCGTCCGAAGCCACACGCGTCACATCCGTCCATCCCCAATATCCCACGCTAGTTCTATGAAAAACATAGCGCCACCGCCACACCCGTGCCCGGTTTCATCTTGAAAAGGATGCAGAGTCTGCAGAGGGAGGTCATGAAGAGAACGGATGCACGTGTTTCTGCAATTACGGAGAGTATGCGCCTCTCCCTGTATGAACCTTGACCGTATTGATTGACTAACCTCTGTCGATAGCCCTCTCCATCCTTCGCATGATCAAACTCTTTGGCTGGGAGCGAACGATCTCCGCACAGCTGTCAGAGAAGCGCGCGGCTGAGATGCAATGGGTACGCAAGCGCGAGTTCGCCTCGCTTGCCAACACCATCGCTAGCTATATCATCCCCATACTCATCATGGTCTCATCCTATGCGACCTTCACGCTAGTGATGAAACGTGAGCTCAGTCCGAGTATAGTCTTTTCCAGCATGACGATCTTCGATATGCTTCGTGATCAGCTAGAAGAGGTCGTGTTTCGCATCCCCAACCTCGTTCAGGCGAAAGTGTCGTTGGATCGCGTGACGGAGTTCTTGCATAGTGTGCGCGCTACCTCGTTAGAGTCCATCAGTGATATAATCTGACTGAGCACCGAACAGACCGAGCTCCTGGACGTCTACTCCGAACATGATGGGGAGGCTGTACCCTCCGGCCATATTGACAACGACGCCATCGGCTTTGCGGACGCCTCCTTCCGCTGGACATCCGAAATCGATGATGGGGTACTTACACTCTCCCGGCGTCCTTTTACCCTTCGCATTTCCGGCGAGCTACGCTTCGTGCGCGAAGGCTTCAACCTCGTCATCGGGCCGACGGGCTCGGGCAAAACGTCGCTGTTGATGGCGCTTCTTGGAGAGATGCACTTCGAAGCATCTGCGCCTGGCGGGTGGTATAAGCTTCCACGTGTAACCGGGGTCGCATATGTGGCACAGGAGAGCTGGGTGCAGAACAAGACTGTTCGCGATAATATTCTCTTCGGCACGCCCTACGACGCAGATCGCTATAGTCAGGTCATCTACGCGTGCGGCCTCGAACGCGATCTCACACTATTCGAAGCCGGAGACCATACCGAAGTGGGGGAGAAGGGCCTTACATTGAGTGGAGGACAGAAGGCAAGAGTCACGCTTGCACGCGCAATCTACTCGTCTGCAAGCATACTTCTGATCGACGATGTGCTCGCTGCACTGGACGTGCATACGGTGCGGTGGATCGTGGATCGGTGCTTTGCAAGCAATCTCGTCAAGGGCCGTACGGTCATCCTCATAACGCACAACGTCGCAGTGGTCACTCGGTTGGTTGACTTCGTCGTGGCTCTGAATGCAGATGGGAGCATCGCCACTCGTGGGACAGTGGATGATGCGCTGGTGCAGGATGAGTGTCTACGAGATCAGATACAGGAGCAGGAAGAGGAGCTGAGGAAGGATGCTGAGATCCTGGATGCGCCAAGTGGATTGACGAAGGGCACCGTAGATGAACGGACAAACCCGCCGACAAAGGATGGCAAGATCGTTGCTGCGGAAGAGGTTGCGCTGGGGCACGTCACCTGGTCAGCGCTAAACTTCTTCTTTAGCGCGCTAGGCGGATCACATAGCATGTCCTTCTGGACGACGTTCATTGGCTTGCTTGCAATCGCGCAAGTTTTAGCCGCCGGGACGACTTGGGAACTCGGGTATTGGGCAGAGCAGTACACGCTTCACGACGCGCGCGACGTTAGCGTGCCGCTATACTTGGGTCTCTTCACAGTCTTGTTACTCGCAAGTCTGCTTGCCCAAAGCAGTTCAAGTGTCATCTTTGTCTTTGGCCTTATCCGTGCGGCGCGACACATACACGCACAGCTTATAGAAGCCATCCTAGGCACCACGCTCAGAGTCTTGGACGTCACACCTACATCGAGGTTCCTGGCTCGCTGTACACAAGACATTCGAGCGGTCGATGGGGATGTGGCCCAGGAGTTTCGCGTACTGCTCGATATAGCTTCGCAGATGCTTGTGAAGCTCATCGCCATCATGCTCGTCACACCGGCTGCTCTCCTTCCCAGCTTCTGCCTCTTCGTATTGGGAGGCTATCTGGGAAACGTGTACATGTCTGGACAGCTGAGCGTCAAGCGCGAGATGAGCAATGCCCGCGCTCCAGTTTTAGGACATTTCAGCGCTGCTGTGGCCGGTCTTCCCAGTATACGCGCGTATGGAGCCCAGGAAGCTTTCTGTTTGGAAAGCCGTGCGCGTATTGATCATTTCACTCGTGCAGCGCGCACATACTACAACCTCAATCGATGGGTCAGTACGCGCATCGATGCGCTTGGAGGAGCTTTCGCGGCCCTTCTGGCCGGCTACCTCGTTTATGGTCCACAGAAGCCGGGCGCCAATAGCATCGGGTTCAGTCTGAACATGGCCGTCGGGTTTAGCGGGATGATCTTATTCCTCGTGAAGATGTATAACGCCTTTGAGGTCGATGGAAATAGTTTGGAGAGAATTCAGGCGTATACGGAGATTGAGCAGGAGGAGAAGCCTAGCAAGAAGGGGGTGCCTCCTGCAGCGTGGCCGAGTAGTGGAGAGTTGGTTGTCGAGGGACTGTCAGCGCGTTATTCGCCGGTGCGTCCTTCTCATTCCCATCATCATCTCACATTGTATGACTAACTTCCACTATGCAGGACGGCCCGCGAGTGCTTCACGACCTCGAGTTCACCGTCAAGTCCGGCGAACGTGTCGGTATCGTGGGACGCACAGGCAGCGGAAAATCTTCCCTCACACTCTCCCTCCTTCGCTGCATCTGGACCGAAGGCACAGTCCTGTACGACGGCATCGACACAAAGAATGTGAACCTGGACGCGCTCCGTGGTGCAGTGACGATCATTCCGCAAGTACCTGAACTCCTTAGCGGCACCCTCCGCGAGAACCTCGACCCGTTCGGTCAGCACGACGACAGTGCGCTGAACTCTGCTCTACGTGCAGCCGGTCTACTCAGTATACAGGACGAGGAGAACGAGGACCACATAACGCTTGATAGCCAGATCGGCGCTGGAGGAGGCAATCTCAGTGTTGGTCAACGGCAGATCCTTGCTCTGGCCAGAGCCTTGGTGCGCGGGAGTAAACTCCTGATTCTTGACGAGGCCACGAGCAGTATAGACTATGAGACGGATGCGGCTATTCAGAGGAGCCTGAGGACGGAGCTGAGTGGGGATGTTACGCTGTTAACGGTTGCACATCGGTTGGCGACGATTATGGATGCGGACAAGATTATAAACTCCTACCTTTCTTTTTCGAGCGTCTTCTGAGACTGCTGTAGATGGTGTTGGATGCAGGCCGTCTAGTCGAGTTCGATGCGCCGAGAGTGTTACTAGAGAAGGAGGCTGGGTACCTGAAAGGGCTCGTGGACGAAAGCGGGGACCGGGATACGCTCTATGCCATGGCATATTCTCAAGATGTTGGGAAACTGTGAATCGGCCTGCCAGTGTTGCATAGAATGAGCCGTTCTGTGGCTTACCCGAATCACCGATTGTAGCGAGATACACATCCTCTTTCCGGGCTTATTCACAGCATCCCCAATTGGGAGTCAACGCCGAGCTAGTGGGCTCGCCATCGCGCACTGAGGAGATACCAAATGGGGTGCATCAGGCATGTAGAGCGCTTCCCATATGAAAGCGTTTTCTACACTCGGTGTGAAGAGTAGAGCTGGCCGAGGATGCATTGCCATGTCACGGTCGCAGGGTCATAATAGTGGCAACTCAGTAGCTACGATACACGCGGACACGGGAATCTACGAGGCGCGCAAGGTCGAACCGATCCACCGGCCTATTGGTAGATATAGAAAAACCCTTCACACCTCATGCGAGAGTGCAAGTAACTCGGCAAGGCTCAACAGGGTTGAATATTCTTCATCCATTGCAGTCCAATGTGGAAAACGAAGGAGCATCCTCAATGCTTGCCAAATTTGATCCAGCTGTATTCGAGCGAAGGTGTATCCCATGACGAGTCTCCTATTTGAGTATTCCATAAATAGGACTAAACCTACGACATCCTGTGTTCGCACGTGATCAGTTTGCAGCGCCCCATCCGGACTTGCTTCGAAGCATTGATGACTTTTGATGCTACAGTACACACCACTCCTGTCCATCCATACTATAACGGGGCATGCCCCATCTGGTTCGTCGAACTGTCCTTCATTCGTGGGCAAGGCAGTACACGCTTCTATGGAGGTAAGCGGACTCTGAAGGAAACCTAGTCTGGTATAAAGTGTCGAGCCTACGAGAACCTATCTCAGCAAGGTACTTCTGCAATGCACTGGCCCTCACCTTGCACATGCTCGACCTCCCTTACATCTCTTCCACGTACGCGGATGAACTCTTGGCCCAAATCTGTATGCCAACCCGCCGCGCATCTACAGAGGCCACCACCCGCTACAATGCGCCCTCGGACAGAGCACCAGATGCCGGTTGCTCACCATCCATGTACGCACGGGTTTGTCGCTCAGCCTGAGAAGGGCCATACTAAGCCAGACGGTCTCAGTAACAATCGTTGCGACCGAGAAGGTTGTATACGCACAATACAACAAAGACCACACAGTACTCCGAGAGAGCACGCAAAGTGAAGTGGCGCTGCGATTGAACTTGGTGAGTACGTGAAGGATGGCGTAACGGTCAATAACTCACTCGATCGAACCAGATCATCTTCATCGGCACAATCTGTATGTTCATCGCGACCATAGCTTTGACAGGTACCGCGCCACTTCGCAGCGTACTAGTCGTCAGTGCCATCTTCGGGACATTTGGGACGCTCCTCGCTGGCGCAGCTGCGACAGTCCTCGCCACAGATATAGTAGAGGACGCGAAAACCGGTCACAAATGGATGCTGGCGGCTAGTTGCGCGTGTGCCATAACGGGAGCAGCGGGTCTGATAGCAGGAACACAGACAAGGGAGGTGGCAGCGATCACTGGGAGTTGCGTGGCAGTGATGGTTCTCAGCGTGGCACTTTGGCGGCGGTTCAGAACTAAAGCTAGTGGAGTTACGGATGTCGAGGCCGGGCCGCCTCAGTCGGTAGGGAATGTAGGACAGTAGGCATGCGGGTCATATCCCTTTGTACTTATTGCAACGATGAGCGAGACATAGATGCGATTTGACATCGATGATGGAAGTGGAGAAGAAAGAGCGCCGCGCCGTGTCCGGCTCACCGCCTCGGCATGCGCGTCACGTCACGTCACACGTTACTCTGCGCGTCGTACACACAGGCGGGGTCGCAGCACTAGCTGGACCCCAGAGCAAGATCCTAAGATCATGGATAAAGATGGCTACGGGTATATATGAAGGACTCTCATCGGCGAGCGGACCCCCCGAGTAATGACCTATACACAAAGGCTACAGCTACTGAACCACAAACAATATGCGACAAGATGATCGAGGGCAGAGGAGCTACAAAGATAGACAAGCCAAGAATAGAGATAGAAATAGAGATGTACAATCGCCGACGTAATCGTCATAACCGTTCGTAATGACACCTTTGCCATACCCCAAGAGGGAACAATAACAAGCGACAACCAGCCAAGAAAGACCATGACTACTGATACCCGCCCTGCCTCTGCTGCTGCTGAGGCCCACCCTGCCCTTGTCCCTGCGGCGGCACCTGCTCCATCCATCCAAAGCCAGGCATAAGCCCCTGCCCCGCCCCGGCACTCGCGCTCTGCATACTCCGAATGAACTCCCCATCAAACGCAAGACTAGTCCCGAAATGCTGCTGCTGTCCATAGAAACTCTGCGCGGGCGCCGCAGGCGGCAGCGAGGCAGAAGACGAAGGAGGGGCGTAATGGTCAAAACGGGCGTTGAAAGGCGTGAGGGTCATCGGGGCGTAGTATTGCTGCTGAGGCGTATGTTGCTGGGGCTGGGGATGTTGCGAGGGAACGGGAACGGGTGGGGGTCCGGGCCATTGTGCGTGTGCAGGAGGGCTGTCGTATGGGTATCCGTGCGGATGGGCAGGGTATGATGGTTGCGGCTGAGCGTATGGACCAGGCCCATAGTCCTGTGAGAACCTCGTAGTAGGTGTATACATGCTCGTGTCCTCTTCGGGCCCAGGGTATCCGTATGGGCGTGGTCCAGTAGGAGACATGTTGAGCTGAGCCAGCGGAGACGAAGACGTCGCAGAACCGGGCGGGTACTGTGTCGAAGGCGACGACCCAGAACCAGGGGGATATCTCATCGAAGGCTGCGGTGGGTATTGGGTTGGTGGGCTGGCTGAAGAAGCCATCACCGGCGTTTGTCCAAGCGGTGATCCGGATCCTCCGCGATCACGGTTGAACTGCCCGCTCGGCGAAGCCGAGCCCGTAGAGCCCGGTTGACGACTCTTGCTCTTTGAGCTGCCGCCGCTCCCAGAGCCATCGACGTCTGCGAGTAGACGCGCAAGGAAACGCGCGTAAAGGGACCAGCCACGACCGTCGTCCGTGTTGATCTCGGGTGTATCTGCGAAGCCGATCGCGCGTTCGACTGTAGCGAGGGTGTGCGCTCGTTGAGAAGGCGAGAGAAGTGAAGCATAGCGCGGTTGGAGAAGCTGCGAAGCGCATACGTGAGAATTGAACATGTCAAGAGCTTATAAGATAGGACACTCACGCGGATGAGGAACGAGCAGGCGAATGCGACGAACACGAGCTGAGCCTCGCTCGCCATGCGCACATAGATGCGCTGTTCCGGGCGTCCGATGTCGTCCACCATAGCGCTCACGACGTCCGTCGCTGCGCGGATGCACTGTATCAATTAAATAATCAGCATCGGCATCAGTGTATCGTGAGGTGAAGGGGGGTACACATACGCGTGTCACGACCTCTTCGCCAACCCCACCATCCCTCGTGCGCCACGCATGCTGGAACCCATGCGAGAGCACAACAAGACGCGCGAAGCTATACCCAAGCTTGAGTAGGCCTGTACGGAATCGGTTCCTACGCGTACGATCAGCACCAGCGAGACGTGAAGACGATAGGCTACGCACAGTGCAACCGTCTGATCAGTCTCCGCCAGCAACTCAAACCACTGCGTCCTGGTAGCCTCAATCCGATCGTCATACTCCGCTGCGACCGCCTCGATGTCGATATTGCGGTTCAGTCCAGTAGGGTGTTGCTCGTCCGTGTACAGCCAGCTCATCATGAAGTCAGCCACGAGGCGAAGCTCTGCATTGTACGCGCAGAGATGGATGTCGAAGTGAGGCATGTTCCATTCGGAGGAGCGCCACCACTCGCCGCTGTGCACGCTGACCCAGTCGCTGTTCCTGCACTTGATGTTAGCCTCGCGTAGTGGAAAATTTGCGGCGACAAGAGCTCACCGGATGATGGTGCTCTTCCCGTACTGGCTGCCCATGCTCCGATCCAAGTTGAAGCAGTTCAGCCAGCACCGCGTGCGGTTCAGCAGCTCGCGAGCGTGAGCCTCGTTGCGAGCCCGTGCGGTAGCGGGGTGGTGCAGGTTCATATCGACTGCAAGCCGGATGGCATGGCCGAGGAAGAGGAAGCAGCGGTCATCCTGCGTGCGCGTGTGAGCAAGCCATCCATCACGGACTCGGAAGAGAGAAGCAGATCTGAGGCCGCGGGAGCGCCGAACGGTACAAGCGCCAGGCACGAGCAGGCGTCATCGAGCGCACACAAGCACCCACACCAGCAGCCTTATCCGAATCCGGCCACTTCGTCCCCGATCAATCTCCCACCTCTCCGTCCCGCTCCGGACCGCCCCAACCCATCAAACTTTGCACTCAAGCCAATCAACCCCAACCATATACGCCAACACAAACATCCTGCGAACACAGGACGACCAACAGAGAAATGGCACGACCGAGTAGAGCAAGAGCATGAGACGGACACGTACCTCCCATTTCACCACCGGCTGCGGGTACAGCGCGAGCAGAATGAATGCTTGAACTGCCTCGACGCGTTTGGCGCCGCTGAGGAAAGAGTGCGCGGCCGCGCGTCGGGCGTAGTTCATTGCGACAGGGTACAGGTCCGGGTGGGAGT